GGGCCTGGCCCTTCCTGTGTCCCCTATGTCGAGGGGCGCCAGAGGGCTGCCCCTCACTCCTCCCAGTTTCCTCCGACAGAGGCCCCGCTGCAGACGCTTCACATGGACGTGTGGGGCCCAGCCCGCGTCCGTGGACAGGGTCACGAGCGCTACTTCCTACTTGTTGTTGACGACTACTCGCGTTACACCGCAGTCTTCCCCTTGCGCAGCAAGGGTGATGTCACTGAGGTGCTGATCGACTGGATCCGCGCAGCTCGTCTCCAGCTCAGGCAGAGCTTTGGCTCGGACTTTCCTGTTCTGCGTCTACACTCGGACAGAGGCGGAGAGTTTTCCTCTGGCCTTCTGAGAGCCTACTGTCGCGCACGAGGCATTCGTCAGACCTTCACGCTTCTGGACTCTCCGCAGCAAAATGGGATTGCTGAGCGCCGCATTGGCATGGTCATGGGCGTCGCTCGTACGTCCATGATGCATGCGGCTGCCCCCCATTTTCTGAGGCCTTTTGCGGTGAGGTACGCGGCGCATCAGATCAACCTCCACCCCAAGGTCTCCAGACCGGAGACCTCCCCAGCCTTGCTGTGGATGGGGAAGGTTGGCAATGAATCGGCGTTCCGGGTCTGGGGATCTCGGGCGTTTGTCCGCGACTTGTCTGCGGACAAGCTGTCCCCTCGTGCTGCTCCTTGCATCTTCCAGGGGTTCCCCCCTGACGCCCCTGGGTGGCAGTTCTACCACCCCACCTCTCGCCGTGTTCTGTCTTCCCAGGACGTCACGTTTGACGAGTCGGTCCCCTACTACCGCCTCTTCCCCTACCGCACTCCGTCCCTCCCCCCGCCCCCGCTCTTCCTTGTCCCAGGTCCCCCCCCGGTAGACCCCCTCCCCCCTCAGGGTCCTGCCCCTTCAGGTGTGTCCCAAGTAGATGCAGTCGAGCCTGTCGAGGCTACTGGTGACTCTGGTGCTGCTGAGGGTGCTGAGCCTGGGGGTGCTGAGCCTGGGGGTGCTGTGACAGGGGGTGCTGAGCCTGGGGGTGCTGAGCCTGGGGGTGCTGCGACTGGGGGTGCTGAGCCTGGGGGTGCTACGCCTGGGGGTGCTGAGCCTGGGGGTGCTGAGCCTGAGGGTGCTGAGCCTGGAGGTGCTACGCTTGGAGGTCCTCCGGGGGCTTCGTCTCGCCGGGAGCCACTCTCTCCTCCGGAGATGCGCGAGTGGTTTGCCCGGCGCTGGAGGCGTGCTGCTGGAGCTGGAGGTTCTTCGGCTGCTGAGGGTGCTGGTGCTGCGGGTCCTGGAGGTGCTCGTACTGGGAGTACTGGAGCTGCTGGGCCTGCGGTTTCGACTGGAGCTGGTGCTGCTGCGGGCGTTGGTGCTGAGCCTACTGCTCGCGGTCCTGCTGGGGGTACTACTGGTGCTGCTGGAGGTTCTGGAGCTGCTGGAGGTGCTGCTGGAGCGGGTGCTCCTGCTGGGGGTACTGGTGCTGTCCCTGCTGTGTCTGGCGTTGCCGCGCGGCCTCGACCATACTTCGTTCCACTCCTGCAGCAGGTTCTTGGTCTTCCGCCTTCTACTGGTCCTCCTCCCTCCTTAGAGTGTCCACAGCCTGTCCAGTCACAGTTACAATTGCAGCCTACCTCCCCTTTGCCTGCTCCTTCTCCCTACACTGGTCCTACTGGAGGTCTTGCTGAGCGTCGTGAGCCTGCGGCTCGTCCTGCGTCGCCTGTTCGTGCTGCTCGCACTAGTGGTCGCGGTTCGCGTCAGCGTCCTCCCCCTGTCCCTGGCACGCACCAGATGTCTCTGCGTCCGTCCACTGCTCCTCTGCGTGCCCCTTTGCCTTCTCCTCCTGCGTCCTCTCTTCCTACTCTTGACGACATGGTGTCGGACTCTCTTCGTGCTGCCAGTCCCACTATTACGCGTCTCCTTGCTACTGTCGTTACTGACCCTTCCTTTGAGTCCACTGCTGCGTGTGCCCTAGTTGCTGAGCTCGTCGACTTTGCTGCTCGCTCTCGCCTAGACTACGCTGCTAGTCTTATCGCTGAGTCTGAGTCTGTCTGTCCTCCGTCCGTCGGGGGTGAGTGTGCCCTTGGCACGGACGTCCTTGAGGACAGGCAGGAGGAGTTCCAGTGCTTGGCCGCTGCTTCACCTCATCTCATGTCCGTACTGCTTACCCCTGAGGGAGACCCGGATGCACTTGACATCCCGACTCCGCGCTCTTACGTGGAGGGAATAGAGGGTCCCTACTCCTCTCAGTGGCAGGCAGCTATGGATGCAGAGATGACTTCCTGGAAGTCCACAGGCACCTACGTTGACGGTGTCCCCCCTCCTGGGCCGAACATCGTCAGTGGCATGCTTGGCTTCCCCCCTGACGCGCCTGGTTGGCAGTTTTACCACCCCCCCTCGCGCTGTGTTCTGTCCTCCCAGGACGTCACGTTTGACGAGTCGGTTCCGTACTACCGTCTCTTCCCCTACCGTGTTCCGTACTGGAGGTTCTGGAGCCACGGGTCCCGGAGGTGCTCGTACCGGCGGTACTGGAGCTGCTGGGCCTGGTGGTGCTTCTGGTGCTGGAGCTAGAGGTGCTGCTGTTGTAGGTACTGCTAAAGGTACTACTGGAGCTGGTGCTGCTGAGTCTTCCGATGGTCCTGCTGGAGCTGGAGCTGCTGGAGGTGTTGCCGCTGCTGGAGCTCCTGGGGGTGCTACTGGAGCTGGTGGTGCTGCTGGCGTTGGTGCTGACGCTGGGGGTGCTGATGTTGTCCTTGCCGGTTCTGGAGGCACTGCTCGGCCGCGGCCATACTTCGTTCCGCTCCTTGAGCAGGTTCATGGTCTCTTGCCTTCTACAAGTCCTGCTCCCTCCTTAGAGTGTCCACCGCCTGTCCAGTCCGAGTCACAGTTACAGCTCGCCTCCCCGCTGCCTGCTCCTCCTCCCTATACTGGTCCTACTGGAGGTCTTGCTGAGCGTCGTGAGCCTGAGTCTCATCCTGCGTCGCCTGTTCATGCTGGTCGCACTAGTCATCGTGTTCCACGCCAGCGTCCTCTTGCGGTCCCGGGCACGCACCAGATGGCACTGCGTCCTTCCACTGCTCCACTGCGTGTCCCTTTGCCGTCTCCTCCTGAGTCCTCTCTTCCTCCTCTTGCTGACTCGGCGTCTGACTCCCTTCGTGCTGCCAGTCCTACTGTCACGCGTCTCCTGGCTACTGTTGTCACTGACCCTTCCTTTGAGTCCATTGTTGCGTCTGCCTTAGTTGCTGAGCTTGTCGACTGCAGAAGAGACACACGTGCCCAGACCTGGGTGAACTGCGCAACTACCTTGGCTTGCAGATCACCCGAGAATGAGCACGGCGCACCATTACCCTGACTCAGTCACACATGGTGTAGCAGGTCCTTCAGCGCTTCGGCTTCCCGTACTCCTCGCCTCAGGCCACTCCTCTGTCTACTGGCCACTCGCTCTCAACTCTGCCTTCGGATGAGTCCGTAGAGCCAAGTGGCCCGTACCCAGAGCTTGTTGGCTACCTCATGTACTTGATGACCTGCACTCGTCCTGACCTAGCATACCCTCTTAGCATCTTGGCACGCTATGTTGCTCCTGGGAGACACCGACCAGAGCACATGGCTGCTGCGAAGAGGGTGTTGCGCTACCTGTGCACTACGTCGGGCATGTGGCTCGTGCTTGGAGGGCGGAGTCCAGTGGTCCTCACTAGTCACGCAGACGCTTCTTGGGCTGACGACTTGGCTACGCAGCGGACGTCACAGGGTTACACTTTCAGCCTTGGTTCCGGCTCTGTTTCATGGCGGTCTACCCGCTCGTCTTCTGTTGTCGGCTCCAGCTGTGAGGCCGAGATTTACGCAGGGGCCATGGCTGCACAGGAGTTACGCTGGCTCACCTACCTGCTGACTGATCTGGGAGAGCCGCCTCGTTCTCCTCCAGTTCTGTACGTAGACAACAAGGCCATGCTGGCCTTGGGTCGGGAGCACAGACTGGAGCACAGAACGAAGCACATTGCTCTTCGCTACTTCTTTGCTCGTGAGCTGCAGCAGCGTGGTCAGCTGCGCCTTGCTTACGTGGCCTCTTGGGCCAACACCGCTGATATGTTCACCAAGGCACTTCAGCCTTGTGATCATCAGCGCTTTTGTATTATGCTAGGTCTTGTGCCTACTTGGCCTCACTTGCTCTCTTCTTGACTTTGCTTGTACTGTGATCTATATATACCCGCACCTGCATGCTTATCCTTGCTAGGTTGAGATCACTGCCGTGCTTGTTCACCTTGATATATAACTCTGCTTGTGAACTGGCCTTGTGGCCTTGTGCTTGTGCTCAGAATGCGTGGTGACGTTGTGATCCACCCTAAGCTTGTTTTGCTTTGTTTCTTCTCTTAACTGGTCTTGTGACCGTTTCTTGTGTTGGCTATCCCCCACTTGGCCTATGGGGGTGTGTCAAATTATATGTTTAATTTTATCTAGGCTGTAGTGGGTTTAGCCTTAGGGGGTACAGAATTTTGCTCGACACTTCTTTGTATCCCCCCTTCTTTCCCTAATCCAATCATACCTTCATACTACTCTCACAGTATATTGCAAGCTTGTAGGACAAGTCTTGTATCATTCGCAGCAACTGGTCGGAATATATGATGTTTCGAACATTTGTTAAGGGAAAATTGTGCAAGGATCGGCTTGTACGACACGTGATGCCGCCTCGACATCTGATTATTATTTACTACAAGGTTTGTTGTCATCATTCAGACATGTACTATATCCCAAGCATGCAGTATAAATTTTGTGCAACCCGGACACTTGAAGAAAAAACATTAATATAGTTAATGCAACACGTTAAGTTGCAAAATATCCATACTCTTGGAAAATCGTGGCTGAAAATTGGGAGGTTTGTTCATAGTACCATTTAAAACATAGAACAAGACTTGATGGTAACGTCGCTAGGGTTGCGTAGATGTTACATTCTTGATTGAAATCAAAACAGGCAATATAATGTAATCTATACAGTGTCAAACTCTGGTTTTTTTTTATTAAGGAAAATGAAAAGCTTATCAGTTCGTGATGATGCAATCTATTCATTTATGGGTTTGTTTATGACTAATCATTACTAATAGGCGACGATTTAGACACATTGATTGTTTTTTTATGTACTTGGTGAACAATGATGTTTTCTATCCTCAAATATGATTTTTTGTAACATTATAGTATGAATTTCTTCTTAGTGCGTTGTTTTCCAGCCCACTATGGGCACCTTTAAAACTGACATTGGCTACGTTAGCCAGCCAGGTGTGTCACGTGATTATCCGTGTGTTCTCACGTGACGCAATCTGGCTCATTTTTTCAACAGCCCGAGCTCTGTTCATGTTGTCAGATTGTATTCGTGTTTCAACACACTAAGTGTTCAATGCCTCGTCATTTTCAGGCAGTTGCATAATATTCCCAGTTATCCATAACTCCTCAATTCTCCCAGTTCTTCAAATTTGCCTACTGCAGTTACTGCAATTTTCCGTTGGCACTTCACCAAACCAACCCAAATATCCCCTCCCCACCACCTGTTGCCTCTCCCTCCAACCCATCCACCTCGACATTGCCCCTCCCTCCCACCCACCCACCTCGTCATCCCTTTCCCTCCCTCTTTTCCATCGCTGCTCTCCTCGACCCCACCATCCACTCTCTATCCCACCTCGCCTTCCCCTCTCCCTCCCATCCCGCCGTCGCCGCTCCCTCCTACCCGCCGTCGCCGCTCCCTTCCTACCGCCGTCTCCGCTCCCTCCTCCCGCCGTCGCCGCTCCCTCTGTGAGAGTACAACGGCTTATGCCAGCTATGCTTGCTTGCCTTTACTTTATCATGCTATTTCTAGCATAGGATAATCATATGCATGCATGAATTGCTTGATTTCCTAGGCTAGGTGTTTTTCTATATTTTATTATAGTTATAGCACCGAGCTAGGTTGCGTGCACCGAATTCTGGCTTTTCGGTTGCCACCGAATTGCCTTCTACCGAATTCAGGAAGGGTCTGTTCGGGACGCTTCGCGACCCGCGGAACCTTCGCATAACACCTGGTTACGGGGCCTTGTGTCGAGCCTATATATAGCCTTGTGTTGTACCCAGGTGATCATTCAATTCAAATCATCTTTTCTGAGCTCGATCCTAGATCCTCACACCCTCCCTCCCGCCGTCGCCGCTCCCTCCTCCCGCCTTCGCCGCTCCATCCTCCCGCCGTCGCCGCTCCCTCCCTCCCGTCGTCGCCTCTCCCTCCTCCCGTCGTCGCCACTCCCTCTCTCCCGCCGTCGCCTCTCCCTCCTCCCGCCGTCGCCGCTCCCTCCACCTGTTGTTGCCGCTCCCTCCCTCCCGCCGTCACCACTCCCTCCTCCCGCCGTCGCCGCTCCCTCCCTCCCGCCGTCGCCTCTCCCTCCTCCCGCCGTCGCCGCTCCCTCGTTGCCTCTCCCTCCCATCCCCGCCGTTGCCTCTCCCTCTCACTTCGCTGTCGTCCCAGGCAACAGGTCACGAGCAAGCTGGTGCACGAGCGGGAGCTGGTTCGCGGTGCGCGAGCGCAGATTGGGTCTTTGAGGCACCGTGATTTGCAGGTGCGTTTACCTTTCCCCGTCCATTTTTCCGTCCTCCCCCCTCAAATTCTATTGTTTTCCTACATTATTTGTATTTTCTGTGTATCAGTTAGTCTCCTCTTGCGTTGCAATACTATTTGAAGTAGGGGAAAAGGGAGGGTGAGGGAGAGCGAGCGCACTGGAGGGAACGCCCAGGAGAGTGCGCGTGAGGGAGCGCGTGCGAGAGGTAAGGAATAGCTGGAGGGAGACAGGGTGGCAGAGCGTTCAGGAGTGAGCGTGGGAGAGTGAGCGCCGTTGGCGCTTAAACTTACGGCGCTGGTGCCGTGGGCACAGGCGCCAAGTGTGAGAAACTTAGAACGAGAATGAATTGACTAAGGAATGAAATTGATACAAATATGAAACCCTAGAATTGTGTACCCTTTAGTATCTAACCCGCTACAGCCTACACAGACTAGATCATATGAGTTTGACACACCCCCATAGGCAAAGTGGGGGAGAACAAGGGGTCACAAGACCAGTCAAGCAAAGCAAGGCAAAGCAAGCTCAGGGTGGATCACAACGTCACCACACATTCTGAGCACAAGTTCAAGGCCACAAGGCCAGTTCACATGCATGAGTACACACATATATATAATGCTAAACAAACAAGAGCGGGTATATATATGTGTAACAGTACAAGCAAGGTCAAGAAGTGAGCAAGTGAGGCAAGGTAGGTACAAGACCTAACAAAGTACAGAAGCGCTGATGGTCACAAGGCGCAAGTGCCTTGGTGAAGATATCAGCAGTGTTGGCCTTGGAGGCCACGTAAGCAAGGCGCAGCTGACCTCGCTGCTGCAGCTCACGAGCAAGGAAGTAGCGAAGAGCGATGTGCTTCGTTCTGTGCTCCAGTCTATGTTCCCGACATAAGGCCAGCATAGCCTTGTTGTCTACGTACAGAACTGGAGGAGAACGAGGCGGCTCTCCTAGGTCAGTCAGCAGGTAGGTGAGCCAGCGTACCTCCTGTGCAGCCATGGCCCCTGCGTAGATCTCACCCTCACAACTGGAGCCGAGAACAGAAGACGAGCGGGTAGACCGCCACGAAACAGAGCCGGAACCAAGGCTGAAGGTGTAACCCTGTGACGACCACTACGTAGCCTGGTCGTCAGCCCAAGAAGCGTCTGCGTGACCAGTGAGGACCACCGGACTCCGCCCTCCAAGCACAAGCCCCATGCCCGACGTACTGCACATGTAGCGCAACACCCTCTTCGCTGCAGCCATGTGCTCTTATCTGTGTCTCCCAGGAGCAACATAGCGTGCCAGAATGCTAAGAGGGTATGCAAGGTCAGGTCGAGTGCAGGTCATCAGGTACATGAGGCAGCCAACAAGCTCTGGGTATGGGCCACTCGACACTACGGACTCATCCGAAGGCAGAGCTGAGAGCGAGTGGCGAGTAGACAGAGGAGTGGCCTGAGGCGAGGAGTACGTGAAGCCGAAGCGCTGAAGGACCTGCTGCACCATGTGTGACTGAGTCAGGGTAATGGTGCGCTGTGCTCTGTCCTGGGTGATCTGCAAGCCAAGGTAGCTGCGCAGTTCACCCAGGTCTGTGCACGTGTGTCTCTTCTGCAGCTCGGAATTCACGTGGGCGAGTCCAGCAGTGTCAGTTGTGGCAAAGACCAAGTCGTCGACGTACACGAGGATGTAGAACGGCGGCAAAGAAGTGTCAGTGCGCAGAAACAGCAACATGTCAGTAGTAGAAGGAGCAAACCCAAGAGCCGCAAGTGTAGTCCTCAGTGTGTCGTGCCACTCACGAGGTGCCTGGGGGAGACCGTAGACTGGCCGCCGAAGGCTCCACTGGGTACGATGAGGAAAAGACCCAGTGAAGCCAGGTGGGCGGCGCAGCCAGATCTCCTCGTGCAGGCTGCCCTGCAAGAAAGCTGTGCTGAAGTCAAGAGAGTGAAGCTCGTAGTCACGCTGAGCGGTTATGTGCAGCAGTATCCGAAGAGTGGTCATCTTCGGGGTGGGAGAAAAGGTCTGAAAGTAGTCAACTCCCTGCCGCTAACTGAAGCCACGAGCCACGTAGCGCGCCTTGAAGACAGGCGGAGAACCCGGCGGTCGCTTCACCCTGAAAATCCACATGCCACTAACGATGTTCGCCCCAGGAGGAGGAACCTCGTCAACGTAGGTGCCTGTGGACTTCCAGGAAGCCATCTCTGCATCCATGGCTGCCTGCCACTGAGAGGAGTAGGAACCCTCTATCGCCTCCGCGTAAGAGCGCGGAGTCGGGATGTCAAGTGCATCCGGGTCTCCCTCAGGGGCAAGCAGCATGGACACGAGATGAGGTGAAGCAGCAGCAAAGCACTGGAACTCCTCCTGCCTGTCCTCAAGGACGTCCATGCCAAGGGCACACTCACCCCCGACGGACGGAGGACAGGCAGACTCAGACTCAGCGACAAGACTAGCAGTATAGTCTAGGCGACAGCGAGCAGCGAAGTCGACAAGCTTAGAAACTAAGGCAGACGCAGCAGCGGACTCAAAGGAAGGGTCAGTGACGACAGTAGCAAGGAGACGCGTGACAGTAGGACTGGCAGCACGAAGGGAGTCCGACTCCGGGTCAGCAAGAATAGGAAGAGAGGACTCAGGAGGAGAAGGCAAAGGGGCACACAGCGGAGTAGTGGAGGGACGCAGAGACATTCGATGCGTCCCAGGGACAAGGGGAGGACGCTAACATGAACCACGACTACTAGTGCGAGCAGCACGGACAGGCGACGCAGGATGAGACGCAGGCTCAGGATGCTCAGCAAGACCTCCAGTGGGACCAGTGTAGGGAGAAGGAGCAGGCAGAGGAGAGGTAGGTTGTAACTGTGACTCGGACTGGACTGGCGGTGGACACTCTAAGTGAGGAGCCGGACTAGCAGACGGCGGAAGACCAAGAACCTGCTCAAGGAGCGGAACGAAGTACGGCCGCGGCCGCTCAGCACCACCAGCACCAGAAGGGACAGCACCAGCACCCCGAACGACAGCACCTGCGCCAGCAGCACCCCTAGATCCAGCAGCGCCAACTCCAGTACCCTCAGAGGCACCAGCACCCGAGGCACCCTCAGCGCCAACACCCCCAGCAGCTCCAGCTCCAACCGGACCACCAGAAGACGCAGCGGGTCCAGCTCCAGCACCCTCAGTAGCACCAACGCCCGCAGCACCACCAGCTCCAGTACAAGAAGCACCCGCAGGCCCAGCAGCTCCAGTACTCCCAGTACGAGCACCTCCGGGACCCGCGGCACCAGCACCCTAAGCAGCAGCAGAACCTCCAGCACCCAGAGCACCTCTAGCTCCAGCAGCTCGCCTCCAGCGCCGGGCAAACCACTCACGCAGCTCCTGTGGAGAGAGTAGCTCCCGCCGGGACGAAGCACCAGAAGAACCTCGAGGCCCAGCACCGCCAGACGCCACACGAGTAGGTCCAGTACCCTCAGACTCCGCACCCCCAGACGCAGCACCCCCAGGCTCAGCACCCCCAGACGCAGCACCCCCAGGCGTAGCACCCCTAGGCTCAGCACCCTTAGGCGTAGCACCCCCAGAGTCAGCACCCCCAGGCGTAGCACCCCCAGAGTCAGCACCCCTGGGCTCAGCACCCCCAGACTCAGCACCCGCACGCTGAGCACCCCTAGCAGCACCAGAGTCAACAGCTACCTTGACAGGGTCGAGTGCGTCTACCTGAGACACACCTGAGGGGGCAGGACCCTGAGGGGGGAGGGGGTCTACCGGAGGGGGACCTGGCGTAAGGAAGAGCGGCGCGGGGGGGAGGGACGCAGTGCGGTAGGGGAAGAGACGGTAGTAGGGAACCGACTCGTCAAACGTGACGTCCTGGGAGGACAGAACACGGCGCGAGGTGGGGTGGTAGAACTACCAGCCCGGCGTGTCAGGGGGGAAGCCAAGGAAGACGCAGGGAACAGCACGAGGGGACAGCTTGTCCGCAGACAAGTCGCGGACAAACGCCCGAGATGCTCAGACACGAAACGCAGACGCATCGCCAACCTTCCGTGTCCACAGCAAAGCAGGGGAGGTCTCCGGCATGGAGACCCGGGGCTGAAGGTTGATCTGATGCGCCCCGTACCGAACCACAAACGGCCACATAAAATGGGGGGAGCCGCATGGACCATCGACGTACGAGCGACGTCCATGACCATGCCAATGCGGCGCTCATGAATCCCATTTTGCTGCGGAGAGTCCGGAAGCATGAAGGTCTGGCGGATGCCTCGTGCACGACAGAAGGCTCGTAGAAGGTCAGAGGAGAACTCTCCACCACTGTCAGAGTGCAGACGCAGAACAGGAAAGTCCGAGCCGAAACTCTCTCTGAGCTGGAGACGAGCTGCGCGGATCCAGGCGATCAACACCTCAGTGACCTCACCCTTGCTGCGCAAGGGGAAGACTGCGGTGTAACGCGAGTAGTCGTTAACCACCAGCGGGAAGTAACGCTCGTGACCCTGTCCACAGACGCGGGCTGGGCCCCACACGTCCATGTGAAGCGTCTGCAACGGAGCCTCTGTCGGAGGAAACTCGGAGGAGTGAGGAGCAGCGCGCTGCCGCCCCTCGACGCAGGGAACGCAGGTGGGGGCAGGCCCCGGAGGAAGGGGAGGGAGGGACCGGGGGAGACCAGAGACAAGGACACGGGAGGCCATGCCTCGAAGACGAGGCAGGGAGGGGTGACCAAGGCGGTGGTGCCAGAGGAGAGTCTGGTGTGACAGGAGACGACACGAGCAGGGGGCAGACTCAGGACCAGACCTGGATGCCGTAGCAAACACCTGACCCGACGCGGCTACCTGAGCAGACTCAGCGACCGGAGGAGACTCAGTAGTCAGTGTGTACAGGCTCGACCCCGGCTGACGGGTAAACGTGGCCAAGTGTCAGCTCGTCCGAGCACAGGTACATTGGGTCACTCGCTGACTCGCAGGAGTGAACTAGTGAACCCCTCCATCCTGGAGGTCAGCACCACTCCCCAAGTTCGTAGAGAACGAGGAGAGGTAAAGACCC